CACCAAAATTAAACATGAAGAAATCCAAATTAGAAGGTGTTTTTGAATGTCTAGGGCTTTGAACATACTACATGATTGCAGCTCTTTAAAGCAGCCGTGTTTTCCCCAGCATCTCCCCACAATTTTAAAAGATTATCAGCAGGTGTTATGTTTGCGCCCCAGGACATACGAAAGCCCTTACTTTGCATTATGTCCAAACTGTTGCACCGCTCTATAATTTATAAATACAATATGCCTGTTAGAGGTGATTCTTAAATCAGATGGAATTATCACTTCTACTAACATGATTATCCCCGATGAGATGAACTTTACTGTGGCTACATTGGCATTTTGAGGACTGAAACCCACATTTTCAGTGTCCAGTTTAGAATAATTGGAGACAGCAGAGATTTCTCACGGGCATTTGGTTTGAATAATGGATTCACAGAATTTGACAGCTCCAGGGTGTGGAAAAAAAATAGAACTAGAACTAGAATCCCATAACTTGGCTTTATTGGAAAGTTGCCAACGCGGATGCCCAACTGAGTCTGCTTAGGGAAGAGACACTGAGCTTTCCTCTTTGGCACAAACAAGAAATAAATGGGGAAGGAATGGTTGATTGTCAATACACAGAGTTTCTGTTGTTCATATGGCAGATCCCATGCTTGTCTGCATTACTTCTGGGGTGGGGCCGAAAGGAAGCAAGAAAGCACAACATATTCTTCAATGTTTCCTTTGTCTTTCAAATCTCATGACAAGTGGGAGAGTGACAGAAATGTAGGGAATGATCTATTTTCCACTGAAATGATATCTAAATCCAGACCTATGTATGAAATGCAGAGGTGTCTGCATTTTGACCAGTATAATTATAGTTCAATGTGAATGGAGATTCTCAGTCATCCGGGTCATGGTTGTCCCAAAGGTGCTTTTTACAAGAGGCAACTGGACTTTCTGGTTTTTCTTTGAAGACATTTTGCTTCTCATCCAAGAGGGTTCTTCAGCTTCTCTTCAAAGAAAAACTAGAGAGTCCTGTGGCCTCTTGAAAAAGTACCTTTGGGACGTATAATTTGTTCTGACCTAGGCTTCCCCAACAGCACAACGCTGAGACCTCATCTGGATAAACCCTTTTTATTTAATTTACAATGGATTTCCTTTCCAACAAAGTCCTGACCAACAGTCTTTCAAGATAGTTCCCAATTACAGATCAGGCTTGGAGAGGGCCAGGCTGATAACTTTCAGACGCTGCAAGACTTGGCAAGCATGCTGGAATGAACTAATTGTCTCCTGCAAAACCCCACTCCCCTTTCGCTCCTCTTTATTCCCTAGGAGAGGGGCCATTCACCATCTACCTGTGGCTTGACTCCCAAGTCGGCCCTTGTTCCTCAGCTGTTCCCTTCATCTGGCAGCTCTGCGCATGTGCGCATTGGGAACAGGCTCCAGCTGTTCTTCTGCCTCACTGATCTCCGACTCCGAAGGCAGCTGATTAGTGTCAGACGGCCCTGGCCCCATCTCTGCCTCCAACACAGAGCACTCATCAGAGCCTTCCCCAGACTCCAGGACTGGCCCCATGTTACTCCCCAACCTCCTCACTGTCTGAATCTGCTGCCAGCTCTGCTAGGGCCACAATATAATTACAGTTGTTGTACAGGTAGTCCTCAATCAACTGGAGCCTGCTCGTTTCGGTGTTGTGACAGTTGTAAAACAGTTGGTCATGTGACTGACTTTTTTGTGTCAGTTGTTAAGCAAGCCAAGGGTTCACTATAGGCATGGTTTTGCTAAAAAAGAAAAAAAAAAGCAGAAGTGATGTCAAAACCATTGTAAAATTTGGTCTTGTGACCATGGGATGTTGGAAATGGTTGTTTTGTTGAGTGCCTGAAGTTTGGTCATGTGATCACAGAGGAGGCCGCAGCCATCGGAACTTTGAATCCGGGCCATAACACCCCCCTTTCGGGTCAATCATAACATTAAACAGTTGCTAAGTGAATAGTCATAAGTTGAGGACTACCTGTGTACATGAATAGTTTATGATTAAATAATCTCTTTTCCAGAGAGAGACAACCAACCCGTTAGCCTGATTACAAAGTTTGAAATTTGGGAGGAATCTGCCAAATTCTGATGGGACGATAGAGAAATCAATGTGAAATGTATCAGCCAAGATCTTCATTGCATACCTTGACTTTTCTACAACCAAGGAGTTTTACAAGGGGTCCTGTTGCATCTTCCAGTTTGTAATCTTCTCATGTTTTCCAATTGTATCTCCCTTCTTCGTACTAAAAGAATATGAAGGAATGGCTAATTTCAAAACATCTTTATACTCCTAATGCAAATTAATTTTTGAACACAAAATATGTAACAAAACATTTAAAATTCAGTGGTTTAAACTTGCAATTCTATTTATCAGGCAGCTGGTGAATGCTCCTTTGAAAGAGAGCAAGTGTGAACAGAACTTTTACATAATCACTAGTGTGATTATGATTTTATGAACTGTGTGTGCTTGTATGGAATGCGTGGGAGAAAAAAGGGATATTTCATTGTTTGTTACCTAACCTTCATGCTCAATTTAATTCTTTACCAGCTTTTTCTTAAGTTGAACCAGAAAAACAAATGAGGTTCCAGATGCAACAATAACAGAAATATTCAAAATGCATTTAATGAGTTACCAGTAGTCTTCGACTTGTAATTATAATTGTGGCTGGAATTATGGCCATAAGTCTTGGCGGTCATGAAGCAGATCGCCATGTGACCATGCCTGATTTTATGACCTTTTTTGTGGCATGTCACATGCTAAGTGAATGGTTGTTAAATGGAATGGCATCGTCGTGAAATGAATCCATTTGATCAAATGGATGCTTTTTGCTGGCAACCAGAAACTAATAACTTGCTGAAAATCACCCTCATTGGGCCATAGGATGCTACAAACAGTGGCAACACAAATTGATTGCCAAGCACCCAAAATGCAGTCATGTGAACATGTGTTTGTGTGTGTGTGTGTGTGTGTGTGTACTGTTGTCAGAACTCCAGAACCAGATCATAAGTACCTTTTGGGGGCGGGGGGAAGGGGTCTTCCATAACTTTGAACGATTGCGAAGCGACCAGTCATTAAGTGAGGACTATCTCTTTAATTCCAAAAAAGACACTGAGCTCTGAAATAGCAAAGAAATGATGCTTCTTGCCAGCAGAAATTGGAGAATGGTTAATAGGTTTTTACGATTTCTTTATGATTTCATAATTTCAGACAGAAAGAAGTTAGTTGATTAAAGCTAACAGGGCCGGAAGGCCAATGGTGTGAATTATTAGCTGAAACTCATCAGGTAGTAGGATAAAGTCTGACTCAGCTGCATGAAGAAGTAAGATAATAAAATCTCCAGTAATTGACTTGGAGGTTCACAGCAAGTTAAGTATTTCTATCTTTGTTCAGGAAGACTGCGGAATTATGGACACAGTTAGTCTAAGGCAGGGCTGTCAAACTCCCGGCCCATGGGCTGGATGCATCATACGCTGGCCCCGCCCATGCCCAGTTGACATTTCACAGACTTATGTACCTAACAGATAACAGACAGAGTTGGAAGGGACCTTGTAGGTCATCTAGTCCAACCCTCTGCCCAAGTAGGAGATCCTATACCATTTCTGACAGATGGGAGTCCAATCTCTTTTTGAAAGTCTCAAGTGATGGCATTCCCACAACTTCCAAGGGCAAGCTGTTCCATTAGTTGATTGTTCAGACTTCAGAACGTTTCTCCTTATTTCCAGGTTAAATCTCTCCTTGTTCAGTTTCCATCCACCTTCAGGTGCTTTAGAAAAATAGCTTAACCCCTTCCTCTCTGTGGCAGCCCCTCAAATATTGGAAGACCGCTATCATGTCTTCCCTGGTCCTTCTTTTCACAAGACTAGCCAAGCCCAGTTCCTGTAACCGTTCTTCATATGTTTTAGTCTCCAGTCCCCTAATTATTCTTGTTGCTCTAGGATGCAGGTGGGTCGAATATCTGCACTTCAAAAGCAGGTTGTAAGTCCCATTTTCAGAGTCCATTATAACTTTGAACAGTGACTAAGTGACGGTTGAGGACTATTTGTATTAGTTCTTAATTGACTTTAAGAACTGGAAATGGGTATGGATTAGTTTAATATTTCTTTTTTCTTTTTCTTTTTCGGAAGAAGATTGCTAAATACGTAAAAGTAAGTTCTACTTTACCTGATTTGGAACTGGAGAAATAGCTTTCTTCACCAAATACCTTGTGACACTAGGATTCATCTGCAATAGACACTAAAGCCATTGTAGTGTAGTGGTTATGGAGATTATGGTTATGGAGTCAGCCATCAAATCTCACTAGATGACTTGGACTGCTCAGTTAATCTACTCAAACCTATCACACAGGGTGGCTGTTGTGAGAATAAAATGAAAGGAAGTTTCTGCATAACTTGCCTTGAGCTCCTGCATTAAAAAGAACAAATACATCTAATAAATCAAATCTAACAAAATCAATCAATCACATGCACTCTCATCTCAAACTATCCCACACAATTATAGTATGGATGAAATGAAAGAAGTACTCCCGGTAGGCCATTTTCAGCTCCTGGAAAAAAAAAACAGTGTATCTAGCCTAAACTTTAATGACAATTTAGTACTAATATGTTTTATGATTTTCCTTGTCTCTGAAGCCTAATTTTCTATGGCAAAGATACCAGAATATCCAGCATAACAATAAAAACAAACTAAATCACAAACTGAGCGAGAATAGGAAATCCACAGTGGCAATAAAAACAGATGTTCCTTTGTGTATAAACAATTCAGGGGCCCATTTTTTTTTAAAAAAAGAAAAGCCTGATGCCAGAAGAAGATTATTCAGGAGGTAGAGCCTCATCTATGCTGAGGACTAATAGAGAAATTCGGTCAAAAGTGGAGCAGCAAGCTGATAAGCGGTTGGATTCAAGGGAGCTAATACTGCATTCCTACCGGTCCTTCATGCTTAAGTTCTGTTCTTTTCGTTCCTTCCTACTAATCTTCCTTTTCTCCTGATTTGCAGGTTCATCCAGGTCAGCACTATGACTGATGGGGACTATGACTATTTGATCAAACTCCTGGCCCTTGGGGATTCTGGGGTTGGAAAGACCACTTTGTTGTACAGATACACAGACAACAAGTTCAACCCAAAGTTCATCACGACAGTAGGCATCGACTTTCGAGAAAAGCGTGTGGTGAGTTTCTTCTTTGTTGTGTTTGTATGTGTGTGTGTGTGTGTGTGAGAGAGAGAGAGAGAGAGAGAGAGGTGGGGAGGCAGAAAGGTCTTCCTGAAGCTTCCATTCTCTCAAAATAAATCTTTTAAACATCTCAGTGGGACAATATCTGCTTCCTTGTGTGGGTTTTGCCCTGCATTTTGTGGCCTTCACCTGAATTGTATGTCCCCCTGACCAGTCTTTTTGCTTAGTCCAAAATGGCGTTTGTATATTGTTTCATCTCTTCCCAGGGTATAGGTCACCCACAACTTACAGCTGTAATTGAGCCTGACAATTAGATTGTAATAGTCAGCAGATTCCCATTTGACTGGAGCTGTTTTGATGACTTTTTTTTTCAGCGGTCATTAAGCAAACCCAGTGGTCCTTAAATAAACTCCATTGTTCACTGTGGAACAGTTTTTGCCCAGAAATCAGAAGTAAACACCAGTTTCTGGCAAAAGCATTGTAAATCACAACCATATGACTGTGGAGCTCTCTGCACAGGGCCATAATTGCAAATTGTTTGCTGAACATCCTAGAAGAGAAAGAATAGAGTAGAGTAGAGTAGAGTAGAACAGAACAAACAGAACAGAACCTTGGAGGTTTTCTAATCCTAAATGTGAACATGTGACCATGAAGGAGGGCAATGTCAGAACTTCAAAACTGGATCACAACATCCTTTTTGACTCATTTTCCCTACATCCCATAAGAAAGCGTGTCACCCCCTCTGCAGATCATGGTCTTCTAAAAATAGTATTCTCTTGTAAGTTAAATTCACCCATTCCTTCAACCATACTAAAGAGGCAGCAATATAATACAACTCCCAATTTGGTAGTTCCAGTCTTCCCCTGCTCTTCATATCCTGCATTGCCTTTAAATTTATTCTAGGTTTTTTCCCTTACCAAATAAATTTAAGTTATTTTGTTGAGTTCTTCAAAAAAAATTGTGTAATTTAATTGGGATCGTCTGAAATATAGAAATTTTGGAAGAATATTCATTTTAATGGCAGCGATCCTGCCTAATAATGAAAGTTGCAGCTTACCCCATGATTCTAAATCCTTCTTTACCTGTTGCATCAATTTATCATAATTATTTTCCTTGAGTGTCTTACAATGTGCTGTCAACCATATTCCTAAGTATTTAATTTTCTTTGTCATTTGTATTTCCATAACTTCTTCTAACTCTGTTTTCTGTTTTTCTGTTAAATTTTTAGTCATTAATTTAGTTTTCTTCCTATTAATTTTGAGTCCTGCTACTGCTCCAAATTGTTCTAATTTATTCATTAATTTTTGTCCTCTTTCGATTGGTTCCTCAATAAAAAAAAAAACATATAGTCCGCAAATGCTTGCAACTTATATTCTTCTTTCTTAACCTTTTATATCTGGGTTCTGTCTAATTCTCATTAATAATGTTTCTAATGATAATATGAAGAGCAGGGGTGAGAGTGGGCAGCCCTGTCTGACTCCTTTTTCTATTTTTATTGGGTGGGTATATTCCCCGTTTATTAAAATATTGGCTTGTTGTGTATCATAAATAGTTGTTATAATATTTTCAAATTTGGTGCCTAGATTCATATTATAAATTTTTTGGATTAAAAATTGCCAATTTAAATTGTCAAAGGCCTTCTCTGCATCTAAAAACATAAGTGCAATTTGTTTTTTGGGGTGAGCTTCATAAAATTCTAAGACATCTAGTACTGTTCTTAAATTGTTCCTGATTTGTCTGGTCGGGAGAAATCCATTTTGGTCTTCATGTATATGCGTGTTTAGCATTCTTTTTAATCTGCTTGCTATAATAGAAGTAAATATTTTGTAGTCGGTGTTTAACAGTGAAATTGGCCTATAATTGTTTATATATCGAGGGTCCAAATCCTCCTTCGGGATCAGAGAAATCAATGCCCCCCTCCATGAGTCCGGCATCCTGGCTGCCAATAGAACATCATTAAAGACTTCTACCATAAGAGGTCCAATTTGTTCCGCAATTGCCTTGTACAGCTCCCCTGGAATCCCATCTGGTCCCGGGGTTTTGTTGTTTTTCTGGTTCTCTATTGCTGATTTCAATTCCAACCAAGTGATGTCTTTGTTTAATAGTTCTACCATTTCTTCTCCAATTGCTTTATCCTTAACTTCATCTAAATAGTTTCTTATTCTATCCTCATTAACATCTTCCTTTTTATATAAATCTTCAAATTACTTATGAGCAATTTCTTTTTTCTGTTCTATCTCCTGCTGTATATCCCCTTTACCATCTATTAGCTGATATATCGATCTCTTTTCTTTCCTTTTTTTTTAGTTTATAAGATAGCCATCTTCCTGGCTTATTAGCATGCTCGAAATAAGTTTGTCTAGTCAAATTCAAATTTATAATCATTTTCTCTTGTTCAATTCAATTTATGTTTAGCTATCATTATCTGCTTTTGCAATTTGGAATCCTTTGGGGTACTCTGTAAATGGGTTTCTAGTTCCTTAATTTTTTGTTGTAATTTATCTTGCTGGGCATATTTTTCCTTATTCCTCTTGGCATTATAAGAGATTGTTATACCTCTTATTACTGCCTTCATTGTATCCCAAATGTTTTGTTTCGTGGTTACTCCATTATCATTTTCCTTTAGGAAATAATTTAATTCCTCCTTGAGTTTGTTTATGCTTAGTTCTTAAGGAAGTATTGTGGATCAAAGCTGAAAAGTATTTGTAGGATTTCCAGAATCTCTAGATTGGTACACAGACATTTGTAGAAATTAATGAGAACAGTGAGGATATTTTTTGAGGGGTGTTATAGTTAAAAACTTGTGTATGTGTATGTATGCACAAGTGTGTGTGTGTATGCGCACGTCCGTGTGTGTGTATCAAAATGATCTTCCCTTCCTTGATTTATTCAGTCTAGCTCATCTCACAGCCATATAGTATCCCATGCTGGTGGGATTTAGATTTTTCATAGACACACACATGAGACACTGCTATTCTGGAAGCCTCCACGTGTTGTGTTTGCCACTATTCGACTGCTGCATTTTAACTCATGTAACTCAAAAGTGTTTTTCGCAGTGCATAACGGAGGCTACCTTACACTGGTTTTCTCTTAAAGAAGGTCTATTGAAGGTGCTGTGAGACTGCAGTTAGAACTATTGTTTTGATACGAAAAAAGAGTTATCCGAAATTTTAAAAAACGGATCTCAAATGCAATTTTGCCTACTTGCTTGGCTAATGTTATTAAAGGACACAGAGCCAGATAAATCTGTGTGTGCATGTACACATAGGCATACACACTCATACCTATTAAGTTTATTCTACTTCACTGTCAACAGTACAAAGATTCTGTAGGTTACAAATGAACCTTTGCTAAAACAAGAGTGATTTCGAGAGCTTGAGCTACCAAAAGAAGCTGTCCGTAGAGATAATGAAGCTTTGTTCTAAAATGCATTTTCCCCATACAGATATTATTATTATATGTTTTCTTTTACATTTATACAATAATAATTATTATGACTATGTTATATAATCAGGACAAGCTGTTATATAGATAGAGAGAGAGATCAAGATAGAGTGAGTTTTGTGGAAGTAATGTTTCTTTTCTAAATATCAACTATATCTTCTGACACAAGCAAGCGTCTTTTTCTGAAATGTTCACCTACTTGGGAAGCCAAGTTCTCAGCCTAAATTTATACGTTAAAGAGCTTGTGATTTGTGCCCACGTGTGTTAACCTCAAAACACAACCTTTTGAATCCTTGTATATTCATTGCTGGCTTTGATAGGATGGGAACTGCATGTCTTTCTCACTGGCTCAGGGTGATTGAGATTGTTACTCAGGATCCAGTTTCCCACGGAGGAGAATAAACAATAACATTTGCCAATACATCTCCTCAAAGACTTGATCAGACCATTAGACAGTTGAACCTCAGTCAAGGATATGTTTAGGGAAGAGTGGGTCCCTATTAGGTGGCAACTGGGCATGACCTATCTGATTAATAATAGCCAAACCTCTAAGCATAATCTTTGAAAAATCTTTCAGAGCCAGTACCTTGCCTAACCTATGGTCACAAGCCACGGTCATCCCCATCTTCAAAAAGGGAGACCCCAGCCTAGTTGAAAATTACAGATGCTGCGTCACCTGTAAAGTCATGGAATCAATTATTAACCAATCCATCGTCCTCCACTTAGAGACAAACAACCTACTCTCCAATAAACAATTTGGTTTCAGAAAAAAACTATCCTGTAATCTGCAACTCTTACACTGCAAAAATATATGGACTACACAACTTGATCAGGGCAAAACAATAGATGCAATCTACATAGACTTCTGTAAAGCCTTTGATTCAGTGGTACATGACAAACTACTCCTAAAAATAAAATCCTATGGTATCTCTGGACAACTGCATAACTGGATAGAAGCATTCCTATCAAACAGACAACAGATGGTCAAAATTGGGAGCGTCCTATCAAATTCTGTACCTGTCAATAGTGGTGTCCCCGAAGGCAGTGTTCTAGGACCAACTCTCTTCATACTCTACATAAATGACCTCTGTGGTCATATTAAGAGCAACTGCGTTCTTTTCGCTGATGATGTAAAGCTGTTCAATACCACAGACAATACTGCTACCCTTCAAAAAGATCTTGACTATGTATCAGAATGGTCAAACAAATGGCAACTTCAAATCTCAACAAATAAATGCTCTGTCTTGCATACTGGCAAAAAAAATCAGAAAATAAAATACAAGCTGAATAGTCAAGATCTTGTTGATGATCCAAGCTCTGTAAAGGACCTTGGAATACTCAACTCTAATGATCTAAGTGCTAGAGCCCACTGTAACTACATAGCCAAAAAGGCATTAAGAGTTGTTAACCTAATCCTACGTAGCTTTTTCTCTGGTAATATCACACTATTAACTAGAGCATACAAAACATTTGCTAGACCAATACTTGAATACAGTTCATCAGTCTGGAATCCACATTACGTATCTGATATTAGCACAATTGAGAAAGTCCAGAAATATTTCACAAGAAGAGTTCTCCACTCCTCTACTCGTTGTAGAATACCTTATGCCACCAGACTTGAAATTCTAGAACTAGAAAACCTTGAATTACGCCGTCTTCGGTCTGATTTAAGCATGGTATATAAAATCATACATTGCAATGTCCTACCTGTCAATGAATACTTCAGCTTCAACCATGGCAACACAAGAGCACACAATAGATACAAACTCAAGGTTAACCGCACCAAGCTTGATTGCAGGAAATACGACTTCAGCAACAGAGTGATCAATGTCTGGAATACTCTACCCGACTCTGTAGTTTCTTCCCCAAACCCCAAAAACTTTAACCTTAGACTGTCTACTATTGACCTCATCCCTTTCCTAAGAGGTCTCTAGGGGGCGTGCATAAGCGCACCAATGTGCCTACCATCCCTGTCCTATTGTTTCTTTTATTTTTCTTTTATTTTTCTTATGTGTACCCATTTCATGTATTCATAATTATGCATACACTTATACTTATTATCTTGTAAACAATTGACAAATCAAATAAATAAAATAAATTAATAATCTGGGAATCTTGTGAAGTGACCCTTTACTAAAAGGGTGTCTATCAGGTTTTGTGCCTTGTATCCTTAAAAGGTGTGTATCTCTCCTTTAGATCAGGGAAGTCTGTGTTTGTCCTCTTTATCTTAATTATTGAGGTAGGATTGCAGATAAGAGGGCAAGGAAGAGTGATCAGCAATAGAATGATGCAATCTGCAAGATTTGCAAGGAATTTCTTCTAAGTACAGGGATGTGCACTACAAAGCTTGCTAAATTACACAGAGTTTGCCTCAGCTGGCTAAGTACAGATCTCTCTCTCTCTCTCTCTCTCTCTCTC